TATATATATATATATATTAAAATCTTTTTTTAATGCTAATTATATATGTAATTAATTGATTTACTTAATAGTTTGTATACCAGTATATATGTACTGTACAACACTATTATCTATGTACACTTTATTGATTTTTTTAAATCAGGAAGTTTGATAAATAAACTTATCAGTATTAAATATCAAGAAACTTTGCAGTTTTAATATCTTGGGAATTAGTTCAAATATTCCTTGTGTTGTTTATCTAACTTTTATAATCAGTTGCAGATGTTATTAAGTTTACATTTCTTCTTAAATTGTAAGATGATAATTTACATATATTAAAAAAACAATTAAATTAAAAAAATTTGTAAAGTTTTATTTTGTACAGTAAGGATATTTATTTTAAAATTTAATATTATTATTATATTAATTTTTAGAAAGAAACAAAACTAAAAAGGATATCTGAAAATGGAAATAACAACAATGAATCATGCTCAATTATTTATGAAGACATTAATAAAGAAGAGAACAATCCTGGAAATAAAACTCCAGTGGATTTAGTTTCATTTAGTAATTTCAGGAGCCTAACTTGTTTGTTTACACCTGAGTCTTCACATTCTTTGCAGTCACCTTTGCCTTATTTCAATTGGGCAAATTCTCAGGATGTTTGGGATGTACTAGTGAAAAAAGATATAACTTATACTAGAAATCATAACATGTTGAGTCAGCATCCAGCACTAAATTCAAGAATGCGAGCAATCTTACTTGATTGGCTAATTGAGGTAAGTTTAAAATTAAAAAAGTTGTGTGTTAGCTTATTATAATTACCTTTTAGATGCATTATGAAAATAATCATTAAAATAATTTTTAAAAATTATAGGTGTGTGATTCATATCGGTTACATAGAGAAACATTATACTTATCTCAGGATTTTGTTGACCGCTACCTCAGTGTACAGGAAGATATACCTAAAGAACAACTCCAACTAGTTGGGGTTACTGCCCTATTTATTGCTTCTAAAATTGAGGTAAATTTTAAAAATTATTTCCTTGTAATTATTTTATTTCCTAGATTTTTTTTTATTTTCTTAATTTTTATAATTTATTATACTCTGATATAATATATATCACCTTGCCAATAGAAAACAAGTAAAAATTAAAAAAATAAATGAAAAGATGAATACTGTATTAATTTTACAAGTTTGGTATTTTCAAAGTATTAAATCTGTGGAAAAAAATTATAATCACAAATAAATATGAATATTTAACTAAACCTGATTTATATTATTTAAACAAATTCAATTAATAATAATATGCTTTAGAATTTAAAGTGTTTAAACTTTATTATTTTATATGATTTAAAATGTTCTCTTCTAGGAAATTTATCCTCCAAAAATAAGTGATTTTGCAGACATTACAGATGGATCTTGTAGAGAAGATGAAATTTTAGATAAAGAAATGGTTATTCTTAAAGTAATTTTTCATTTGTATTTTTATTGAATGTCTTTTTAAAATACTTTATAATAAAACTATATCTGTATTTTTAATTTCAGGCATTAAACTGGGACCTTATGCCAATTACAGTGAACAATTGGCTAAATATATATTTGCAATTGGCTACAATTAAAGAAGGAAACAATGATAAAGAAAATTTTCTGCTACCTGATTTTTCAAGTCATCAATTTTTGAAGCTCTCACAAGTATGGATATTTTAACATACATATATACTTCCATTTAATGTCATATTTTAGTCAAACATCTGTTTATATTAAAATGTGATATAATATTTTAATCAATTTAAATAATACTTTAAGAAAATAAATTTAAAAATTGATTGAGATAATGTTCTATTTCCTTTTATGAAATAATTTGTTCCTTGAATTGTAATACTAAAAATGTATAAATTTAATGGTGTTAGTTGTGTTCAAATTAAATTTATTAAAATTAAATACTCAGTCACATACTTTATAGTTAATGCAGATTTATTTATTAAAAAATTATTTTGTCAATTTATTCATGATAATCAAATTTTGGATTATATACAAGTATATTAAATTGTACAAAATATTTTGATATGATTATATTATTTTCTAATAGAAATTTTTTCTTTTACAGTTGATTGATCTCTGTATGCTGGATATTGATTGTTTACAGTTTTCCTATAGAACATTAGCAGCATCTGCAGTATATTTAATGATGTCAGAGAGAATTGCAACTGCTGTTTCAGGTGGATATTTATTAATTTAAAAAAATTCTGTTTGATGATGATGGTGGTGGTAACTTTAATTGTGTTATTTATAGGTCTTAGGAAGTCTGATATAGCTGCATGCATAGATTGGATGTTACCATTTGCTCTTACTGTTCAGGAATGTGGAGAAAGTTATATTAATTTACCAAATGTAGATCTGCAAGAACATAAATATAATATTCAACATCACAATGTTAATTTGGAATTACTGGTAAATTTAATTAAATGCTTAAATTTGTTTATAAATTTTTCTGTTTTTAAAATAAATTTTTGTTCCTAGGATAAAGCAAAACTTCGACAAAGTGAAATTCTAACACAGAAGAAGCCTGCAGAAATAAGTGCAAATGAACTCACCCCACCAAGTAGTGATAAAAAAAAGGGACGATCAAATGCATACTAGTAAAATCATTATCCACTTGAATTTTACTAGTTTTTAAATGTGATCTAATGATTTTCTAGTACAATAATAGTTGCTGAACAAAACTGTATTATTTGCAGTTGAAGATAAATATGCAACTGAACAAACAATGACTTCTAGTCATTACACTGCCATTAAGTACACAACGAATAAAATGAATTTACCCACCCATTTTAAATCATTAATAAATAAGCCAAGGTTGTGGGAATTAAAAAATAATCTAATTTGGGAAATTTTTTACAATTTTTTAATCATAAAATTTTGTCCTTATGGTTGTTTATATATAAAATTGTTGTAACTTGTATACAGTTGAGCATTGTACATTTTAAATTTTTTATGAAATTTGTACAGTTTTAAAACTGATGCATAAAATATCTATAAAATAATATCTTGTATCATCATTTTACCATTTCATGTATTATATAAATCACTGCCATGTGCATTTAACATGTCAATGCTCATATAAGAAGTCAGTATTGGGTGCAATTTATTTAACTTTTTGTTCAATTTGGCTTATTAATATTAAGGTCATCTTGCACATTTTTGATTTGATCGTCATTAGATGATTAGGAGCAGCTTGAGAGGATTGACAGTTAATGCAGGACAATGAAACTTATGTAACTCCATTTGTGGAGAATTTGTTGATATTTGAATCTATAAAAGTCTTCAAAGCACAATAAGCAAATTGAAATTTTTGAAAAACGTTGTTCTAACATGTATTTATTTATTTTTTGAAATCATTTAATATGTTGCAAATTTATCACTTAATTAAAATCAAATTATATAGAATGCACACAGACACAGATTTAATAAATACTGCAAATATATTAAAATTTTTAAATGAAAATTTGATAAATTGTACTTTTGTAAAATTTAAAAAATGGTTTGAAAAATAAATTTTAAATATGTAGATGTATTTTGTGTTTTTCTTTCAATTATATACTTTTAATTCTTTATTATATTACAATCTTTATTACACCATACTTGTTTGAATTTAATTTAATCTAATGATGAAATTCAGCATGAAATATTTCAGACAATACCATCTGTCTAAAAAGTAACTAGACTGAATATTTATAGTGACCAGCATATGTGCCAAGAATATAAATGTAACATATGCTAATATTGTCATTTTGCTATGTAATTTATTTCATATTGCAAGAATGTGTTATTGTCAAGCATACATTAATGCAGTGTTTTCCAATGTGGGGCCCACGCCCCACGGGGGCAATTTAAANAAAACAAAATATAATTCTTTAAGTACAAGAGTACCTAAAAATAATTACTAGATATTATATAAACTGTATTGACAAAATGTATGCAAGTTTAGTTTCATAACAAATACATAACAATACATATAAAAAAAACTTCAAATTTGTTGTTATCTCGCTTTTTCGTTTGCAAATCGATCAATCAGTTTCTTCAGATCAAGTTGACAAACTATTGTCTTTTCAATTGATATAGTAGCCAGAGCTAAGATGGTGTTGTGACATGCTGCTGCTTAAATGGGTTTTGATTAATTTTAGTTTTGAAAAACTTTGTTATGCTGTTGCTGTCGTCGCTAGTAAAGATAAAAAAAAAATGAAGCATGCTACAATAATGTCGGAGAAGCTACTTGAGGCTGTGGTATGAATTAAAAGTAGTTCAGCAACTTTGTGTATAGAAGTAATGTTTTTACCTGAGTATAAAAGCGCATTTTAAATCAAAGCAGTTGAGGTCCAAACAATAAGATATTCAATTAGGTGAGATGTCAGAAGGATATGCCAATTGTAACAATTCTGATCCTAAGAGAATACAGTATTTTTATCAGATGACATGACAAGATATACAAGTGATAAGACTTAAAAAGTGTACATAATTGTTGAATAGATTCAAATCTAATAGTTAACTGATTAATTATGAAATCCAAATTTTTTTTTACAAATGTTTTTACATGTTTTTATTTTGCCCTTTCTAACTTGGCACCCTCATGATTCATGTGGCTGGAGTCACATTTGTCACAGTTCATCCTTGAGAGCATATGATAAACTAAACCCTGATGGTCGAAAAAGAGTCAATATGTCCTTTATGTTGCTGCATGATTGTCATGCCTTCTTTGGCTGGAGACCATGGCATTTTCGACTGGGATGATTGTGCTTTTGTCTCATACCCGTAGACCCAGGTCTCATCTCTGGCTAAAATCTTAATGAAATCAGGATTCATCGTGTTCTGCCAAATCATGGCTGTCTGACAGTGACTGAGGGTAGGACAAGTTTGCCAAAATTCACACACATGGAGTAGAGTCCAAGGTCACATGACAACTTGCAACATACTTGCAAAGAAAAAAATAAGGTCGATACTTTTTGATCATCTCTTGTATCACAAAAGACACATATAGTAAATACTTCAATTAAAAATATTTAAATTAAATCAGAATTTTTCTGATGAATAGAATATTGAAGATAAATATTAAATTGTAGTAGAAATTATTGCATAGTGTTTAAAAGACTATGCTGAGAATTATTTTAGAAAAAATTATAACAAACTTCAAAACAAGAACTAAGAAAAGTATTTTTTGTGTAGAGGAAAAAATCTAGCTATAAAAACAGAAGTGTTTAGATCTTTTTCCATCCTTGAATTGGCATAGTTCCTATGTCAGTATATTGCAACAAATTACCAGACGATTTGATTTCAAAATTATTTTTGTAATCTTGCTTAGTGCGGAGTGTTTTTACATTTTATAAGATTGATTAATGACATTCTAAGAACATTCAGTATTTGAAAAAGAGTTGTTCATTAGGTGATACTGAGGATAATTAAATGTAAGGTCAAAAATGTTTTGTAAATAAAAATAAGCATTTAAAAACTTACAAGAAAATTCTTTTAAAATTTAAATGTTCACAATCGGTTAACAGAAGAAGAAAAATTGTTTTACATATTGAGGCAGATAAGAGCCTGTAATAAAAGGTTAACTCCACTGTAAGATTGTTTGTTGTTCAGAGAGTTTGAAAAAGGACATAGGATGAAAGGAAAATGAAGAAGCCTTGCGTTTTCTTATGTTAACCTGTTGTCAAAATTTTTTTTAAAGAATTTTCTTGTAAATTTTAAATGTAATTGTTTTGTTGTCCTGGCTATTTACTAGTTTTATTAATAAAAATAAGCAGTTCCTAAATTAAGAGCAGTTACTTGTAAATTTCTATCTTCTATTATTTTTGGATATAATATAATAACCTGTTTCGTAGATTTTAACTATATGGGCAGTTTATGATGATTTATAAATACAGTATGTACTTTTTATTTTTATTACTATTAGTTCTACAATATACTTTTATTGTTTTGTTCTATACATAATATGCAGCATAATAAATTAATAAAATCTACCTAATAAGGTCAGATGGTAAACTGACTTCTAAATTAATTTTTGTTTTTGACTTTAAACTATAACAATTTAAATTAAATAACTGAATTCATTTTTGTATTAATTTAATTTTATATTATAAATTTAATTAGTAATCATTTTGTAGTTTTTCCTTCTTGTTAAAACTAATTTTCCATGTTTATCAGGCAGTTGTTTTTTACTTTAATCAGGCAATTTACAGGTTTTTAATAAGAATAAAAAAACTAAGTAATGATATAGATATTTTAATTGTGATTTCTAACTTTTCTAAGGTTACTCAAACTTTGTTCTAAATAGAAAATTTACTTTTTATTGTGTATTTAATGAAAGATCAAGAAGCTTGTATTTTTTTACAAGAATTAGAAATTCATTGAAATTTGCAGTGTAATGGAATTTCAGCCCAAAAAAATGCAACTGTAATACTTCTCAGGCATTCCATGGTCTGCAAGATAACTTGCATTACAAGATAATAAGATTTTTTTATTTTTAGTTACTTGCTATATACTTCCACAATATTTTCAAGAAACTTTTCACAATCATTATTGAATTAAATACAGTATTCATATTGATTATGGTTATATTAGTAACATTATTGTTTTATCACTATTATCAATGGTAATAATAAAAATATTAGTTGTTTGCAAGAGTAAATAGTAATTGTCAGCAAAATTAAAAGTATTTAATAGGCTTTGAAACAATTTCCAAATAAATATTTCATATTTTTTGTAAGAATTTAGTAGGGAAGAGGAATACTAAATATATTTTTTTAAATATTTGTTTTTCACCAAATAGATGATGAGAAAACTTTAATTATTATTCTTTCTTTTTAATGGTTTAAATTAATTGAAAAGTTATGAATTCTAATGCTATAATACTTACATGTGATGTATTCATTTCATCACATTCTAAATTTAGACCTTTCAAATATTAAATATAAGAAATTTTTTAAAGGTATTTTTAATTTTTCAAAAATTTATTAGACTGAAAAAATTTGATTTAAATTATCATGTGATATCCATCTAGGATATCTGGATAATTATAATTATTATATACATGTAAAGTAGTTTGTGATGGATTAAACATCCAGGGAGGTTAGCATAATAAAATTACTTTTCTTTAATTGCAACTTCACAAATCATTGTAGCTATAAAATACTTCTGTAAATAAGAATTCTTATCTATCCAAAGGGAGAATTTGGGCCTTCTATTCAGCAAACAAGAAAGTTTCTCAATAAAATTTGGATTAAGAGTGACTATTTTCCTTGGCCAAAACATACAATATATAATAATGCATTTAAATAGAAGTGAAATTTTACAGCATTCTTTAATGCATTCTTAAATTTCTTTAATATATATATATGTATGTTCAAGATTTATTATAGTAATATTAATAACTCAAGCATATAAATATTTTATGTTTAAATGTAAATCAATTATATAGAATATTGAATAAGATAATGTTGAAACTATATGTATAGTCTGAACATTATCATATATATATATATATATATTTTTTTTCTGCATACCTTGTGTGCTTCCTTTCTTTGTTAATTTTTTATTGAAGTACAAATAACTAAAGATAGAGAAATTGATATTGGAGAAGAGGAAGTTGCAGATGGTAAAAGTAGTTAAAAGGCCACCACTAAAACAGTAAGGTGTAGTATACATTAAATATATTGAAAACTTTATATATTACATATGAAGCTTTCAATATATATATATAATTATTTAATAATAGAGTAAAAATTTATTTTTAATAATAATAATAATTGCAAGGATATTGTTAATTTAAAGTTTTTCTCTGAAAGATGCTTTTATGAAAATGATATAAACATTTTTATAGTTGTTTAATCTTGTTTTTGGTAAAATGAGGAACATGACTATATTTTAGCATAATACATTCAAAAATTATTTTAATAATTTTCTGTAATTTTAAATTTATGTCGTATCATACGTGTAAATTTCCTTACATTTTTTTCTTATATTCTGTTTTTTGTTCTATTCTTTTAGTTTGTTTTAATAGTTTATAACTCACTATTGTAGGTAAGAGATATACAAAATTAAATTAGTTTTGTGTGTATCTTATCTAATATTCCAACCATTCTACATTAACTGTAATTAATGCATAATTAACAATTTATAATTTTGATTATTAGCTTCTTTATAGTAGCAACTCTTCATATATGATTTAAAAAATTATATGGTATGCTGATATGTTTCAAAAATACAGTTTATGACATTATGAATGATAATCCATTTCCTGTATCTATTTTCACATCACATTTATAAAAGCAATCATAGTGACAATGACTGAAATCAGTAGGATGAATGGGCTTGGCTGATGATAATGGAAAAACTACAAATCAGTATTTGACAGTAATAAATAAAATATTTTTTGAATGTATTCAATTATGAATATATGTAAAATAAC